AGTGCTTCAAACATTAATAGTGCTAATGAGAACATTCATAAGATATTTTTATGCACATAAATCCTTGTTCTTTAAGGCCATCAGCTGGTCACTAACAAACAGGAGTTAAGAAGAGATTGTCCTAATGACAAGTTATTTCATATTTATTTGCTTTAGAGTTTCCTGTACTTTCTTCTGAAGAATCTGGTATTGGCCACTATCAGAATCACAAAGCTGGGCAATAGATAAGTACTATTCAAGAAAGTCAGTATGCACAGTATGCCTCAGTTCAACTATTGACTTTGATGAGCACCTTTGAAAACAAGGTCTTATTTTAAAATCACAAACAATTATTATGTTCTTATTCCCACAGGTCCAGCCTTATTGTCAGGTAGGAAATTGATACTGAAATGAACTACCATTTACTTCAGAGGCAGCAGGACGGTGGCAACAGGGAGCAGAAGCTAGGGAAGGTAGGTGGGAGGCAATGGTTGCAATTCTGACTCCAGCACCAAGCTTGGACTCAGAGGCACTGCCTCTCCCACTTGTACTCAAAAACTAAGACAAGGGGTTTTCTCTCCACCTTCCCCCCATGTTGAATGTCTTGGATTTGAGTAAATACAGCAATTCTTTTAACATTTCTTGATAATGCATCCTCCTCTGTTCCCATCTTATTTTCCCTGAATTCTGTCTGGTTCATCAGAATCTTTCTGGAATTGAAACAGCTAAAACAGGAAAAGGGAACACACCCTTCCAGTGACAGGCTCTCCCCAAGCCAGTCAGATACATATGGTGTTTTAAAAAAAAATAAGATTAGATTAAAATAGATTGTTAGAAAAATAACCCACGGACTTTCCTGATGGCTTTCCTCTTCAAAGAAGCCTAGAATGGAGGTAGTACAAAGCCTAAAAATTTGCACTGAGTGCTTTATGACGAGCAGGAAAAATAGCCCTGGTGTGTGGATGCAATGGAGCTTCGTTTTGTACCACTACAATAAAATCACCCACTCTAGTAAAACCACACTTCACAAGTGAAACAAGCTGTACCCATGAAAGTACCATTCTGCACATACAACCTCATCTGTACTAAGGAATTCTTCAAGTACAGCTGTCTCAGTCAGAGATGATCCCTCTTCGAATTCTCACTGATAAGCCTGTGCTGGCAGAAGGCTTAGGATATACCTAGCCTAAACTGTACCATTAAACTGCTGTACCTCTGAGAACCTATACAGAATCTGCAGTAATGGAACCCAGATAGCTTACCTCCATCCAGTCGATAAAAGTGGCCACATCCTTTCCTACCAGTTTAGTGTATGCAGCAGATATTGGATAGTGTTGCTGGGCTCTAGTTAGCCAATCTACAATAATGACATTAGAGTCAGGCTCTCTCTTATACAGAGCATCCACCAGTTTTGGCACCCAGCTCTCATACATCCCAGTTACCTGAAAACAGAGTTGAAATTATCAGTTGTACTGCAGTAGCACCTAGAAGCCTTATCCAAGTGCTGGACTCCTCTTTGCTCTACATGGTAAGAGTCACTGCTCCTTAATGCTAAAGCAGGAGTGTCAAATTCATCTGGTTCTGTGGATCAAATGAATGGTACAGGACCGATCCACAAGACCAGGTCAGGCCCACTGACCATCCACCCCTCCCCCAGAATGCCAGATCCAGTGTACATGATACCCACACCAGGATTACACTACACAGTGCATATGTAGGGCTAGCCTAGGATGTGCTGTACTCTGAACCTGCTTTAGATGATCTGGGACCCATGCTGCACATCGTACCCACCCCAGGCCAGCAAAGGCAGATGCTGCATGTAGCACAGGTCCCAGACTGGGCACTATGTGCCACACAGCCCTAGACCAGCCAAGATAGGCACACATGCAGTGCAATTCCAGGCCAGCCAGAGTGGATGCACCATGCTATCCCTGATTGCCCAAAGCAGGCACCGCATGCAGCATGAGTCAAGGGCCCCATGTGCAGGGATGGTCCTGCATGTGCAATGTGCACATCTGAGTCAACTCTGGGACCCAGGGCCTGAATGATGCATCTCTGCAGGCTGTATCCAGGGCACAAGCCTTATTTTTGATTCACAGAAAAAAGGGAAGAAAGTTAAATTTATTCCACTATAAAGACACTTCAAGCAAGGGTTATACAATCATGGCCCTTCTGGTAATTGCTATGCAACCATAGCAATTATTTATGGCATTGTAATGCACTTGGACAGGTGAGTTAATACAGGACCTGCTACCATGACAGTTAAAGACTGAAATTCCAAGTGAACCTTAGAGACAAGGTTCTTTGGGTGAATCTGATATCTTTTATTAGATATCTAATATCTAATAAAAGATATCGGATTCACCCAAAGAACCTTGTCTGCCTATGTCCTTAGACCAACATGGCTACAAACCTATACCCAAGCGAACTTTACAGGAACCTCAGTGCAGCTCAAGTACAGGTTCCAGTTTCCCCTTACCGTCCATCCATGGATCACCAGGAAGGTTTTGCTGGTGTGGTTAAAGCTGCAGTGTGCCAGTGAGTCTTTTTGGCCAGGTACCAAGTAGCAGATGTCCTCGTCGGGTATGGCAGGTGTCCTTAAAGAAAATTTGCTCTCAATCCCCTCAAAGATTCTCCCCGTTTCTGGGGTAGTTCCTGGAATTGAGAAAGAATAATGGAAATGGATATGTACAAATTCTGGTTTAGGAAGATGCATAATAAAAATCTTACCAACCTCCTGATGGGCAATAGTCTAAAACAGTCAGAAGGGAAGGAGCCTCATTCTACATATATACTCCTTTACACTATTCTGGCCGTGTAAGAGGGCCTCTGCATGGGTGTAGATTTCTATAAAGACCCCTTCCCCAGTCAGAATAGTAAGCATATAATTTGCTCACTTATTACATAGGTACATATTTAACTTTAGGA